ACATGTATCAGTAATGTTGGGATAAGAATGGAAATTAAGGAGTGGCTGCAAATATATCATAAATAAAGACTTCACAATGCTTAATAACTAGTTGGTAAGAGGAAGACTAGTGGGCTAGATGTAAACATGGAGAAGTAAGGAAAGTGAAAGGAGGGAGCACATATCAGAGGCATATATAAAGTTCTGTGGATTAATTTTCTCCCCCAGGTGTGTCCATGCTTGAGATAGAAGTTTTAGATTCGTTTATGAATATCTGCAAATTACTTTGAGATCATCCATTGAGAAGGACATTATACATATTTTACTAAATTGATACATAAGTTAAGGAAACTAGATATAACTTACTTTTCAACTTTTCCTTCAACAGCTCTCTTCCTGTAATAACCCTTCATCTTTTTCACAGCTGTGATGGGACGTAGACCAAGAAAGGTTTTCCAATGAGTGAATGTAGGAAGCTGATAAGAAGCATTCTTTTGGGTTTGGTGGCATAAGTTATATTACACTAAAACATATATCTCTTTGCAGTCTCCTTTTTCTCCTGTCATTGACATTGACATTTTGAAAGATTTACTGATTAGCTTAAAAATTACAGAACTTCTAAGACTAGTGATGTGGATGTACCAGCCTCATTACAGATGTGCAACTGCTGTTAGTGCTTTTTCCTTCTATTTTAGGGAGCCATTACGACTCATAACCAGAGAAAAAAAGGCTTTACATGATTGTTGCTAATATTAAAAAAGACATGTACATGCCATTTCCAAACAACTCTAATATCGGTTTCAGTAACCAATATTACTAATTGAGTGCCTCAGGAAAGCCCTTAATAAATTATCTAATCTAGGCGATTACATATATTTTTCAAAAGCAGTAAAGAGGAATGGGAAAAAGCTGTATCAAGTACGATAGTAGTTTCTTTAACTCTCTTGTGAGTTGTTTTGGTCCTATAAAGTAAGTATTATTTCTCATTATACAAATGAACAAGGTCTTAGAGAACTACACAGCCAGATCTATGATTCTGATTTAGGTACAGCTCATCCAACGCTCACGTTTTTTTTATTCTATATCATGTTGCCTCATGGGGAAAAAGTGCTGTGTATGGAAAAACACATACCACATTGTCTTTTATCTGAACTTATAGTGCCCTTTGTGTATGTTTATAATGCCTTTTGTCTCAATACAATCCCATAGCTAAGTTCAAAGTATTTTTAGCCTACAAAGATTTTCATTAGTTTGAATTATATTTTCAGAGAAGAATTTGGTCTGATTTCCCCTTGAAGATTCATCGTAAAATTGTGAGGTAGAAAATCCTCATTTTACAATGGGACAGTGTGAATTGAAGGCATTTCTTCAGTATCACCCAAAAAAAAAAAAAAAAAAAGTCAAGCGATTTGATATTATAATTCAAGTCCCTTTTAGTATATTTCTCATAGTGCTTAGTATTAAAAAGCATACTTATATAGGTTTTTATGATTCACTATTATATCTTAGTTTCTCTTTTATTTTCTAAGTTTCTAAACTGAATTAATCTTTACCTAATACAAAGTAAATCAGTGAACTGACTGCAGTTTTTACCCTGATGTGGTATTAGGCTCATGGTCAGGTGACTGAGAGAATTCTGAGTCAATTGTTACTGACATAGGAGGCTTTACAGTTAGTTATTTATTAGAAGATAGCCCGGGAGGAAAATAAAAAATGGATTTATGCTATCCTGTATCTTGCTAAATACAGAACACTGCTGGCTATCTTTTCTTTACTTCTTCCTCTAAGAGTCATCATTTCAATGCACTAATCTTTTAAACATCCATTCAGTGAGAATTGGGCTAGAACTTTGCTAAGGGGTCACATCTACCAACCTGACAGTTATACATTTACAAAAGAAATAGCATGAATTTATTCAGCATCAAAACCTCTGCATCTTTTACCACCCAACCGCATTTCACACTGTATTACCATCAGTGCACTATAGTGGCTATTTAAATTCCATCCAGATTCTTCATTTAATTAACTAGCATTCTTTGAACAAAAATAAAAGTGCTGTTTTTATAGAAGAATAAAAGCTGCATGAAGTGAGTGTGAAGGAGACAAATCATCAAATTTGTTATTCTTCATTGCAGCTATGGAGAATTCTCTGCCCCTCCCCTTTCTCTTCAGTGACAATATTTTTTTTTCTAGCTTGATTGAATGGAAAATAGAGAATGATGTAGCTGCCCCAAATGTTTTTGAGTAAATTGTAATGGCCACATCCTAAGCTCATGTAGGGTTAGTAACTGGCGATATTGTCATGTATGAGTAATTTTTTTTTTTTTTTTTTAAGCAATGTCTATACTTGGAGAGGTAGTATGGCATAGCAGCCAAGAGCATGAACTTTGTAACTAGACTTTCTGGGTTCAAATCCTAGCTCAGCCACTTACTAGATTTGTGATTCTGAGCAAGTTACTTCAAATTTCTCTGCTTCATTTTCCTACCTTTCAAGTGAAGATAATAATAGAAAAACCTCACACGGCAGTATGCAGATTAACCGAGTTGACCAATGTGAAACACTCAGGGTAGTGCCAGCACATCTTAAGCCATTACTTTTGTGTGCACAGCAACAGTCTGAAGTGAACGTTGATCCAGCTGCGGCACTGGTGGCTCTTGATCACCTGCGCTGAACTGACCGATGTGACTAATGCGGCTAAGTAAATGTCATTTTATTTCCCCAGACATTTTTTTCTAAAAGTATCCTTTTATTACAAGACAATTACGTTAAAAAAATAAGGAGATAAAGTTCTTTTAATCAAGGTGTAGTAGGCAGTTGGTTGGCCACATCTTTCTGTCTTGCACCCTGCTGCTAGATTTAGCTTTTTAAAGGACCATGTTCTCATATCAATTTCTGCTCAGAAGGCTTCAAGACTTCCCCCGATACAAACCCTCTCTTCCTTTGTTCACATTGTTCATTTTGTCCAACATGCCCTACTCTCTTCCTCCACTTACCTAAGTCATACCTAATGTTCTAAGCTGAGCCAGAAAAAGGAAGGGATCTTTTATCCCCGTTGTATTTTTTAGCATATAACATGATTGTCTGGATGCAGTAACTGCTAGGGAAAGGTTGTTAATGACCTTGAACTAACTGTTCTGTTAGCTTGACTTTCAAACTACATTTAGAATCTAACCACTTCACATTATCTCCGCCACTGTCACCCTTGTCTAAGCCACAATTACTTTTAGTCTGTCCCCTTCCTCTTCTCCCTGCTCCATCCTTGCCCACCCACTATTTTCTACTCTCAACACAGAAAGAAAAGTAATATATACATGTATATGTTACCTAATATGTTAGATCATATCAATTCTCTGCTCAAAACCCTCCAATCCCTTCCCATGCCACCTTAAGTAAAACCAAAGTCCTTAAAACAGTCTACAAAGCTCCTTAAGACCTGTCACTCCACCCCAACCCCATCCTCGCCCTTGCTCCTCTTACCACTCTGCACTCATCCGACTACTCCCTTCTTCCTGTCTCCTCTCTGCTTCTGCCACTGGCTTCCTTACTGTTCTCTGAAGATGCAGGGCACAGTCCCGTCTCAGGGCCTTTGCACAAGCTCTTCTCTCTGCCCAGAATTCTTCTTAAGAAATATGCATGGCTCCATCCCTCCTGCAAGTCTCTAATCAAATGTATTTCTCAATGAGATCTTTACTGATAATCTCTACTTTACTAGACTCAAGTGTAAATTCTAGGGGACAGGAGGGAGGATTTTTTTTGTCTATTTTGTTCAGTGCTCTATCTTTAGTACTTAAACCAGAACCTGAAACAAAATAAATACTTAATAGGATTGAATGCATGAATTAAAATTTGATTCTTAAAAATATGTCCATATTTGCAACCCTCGCTTCACTTCAGTTGTGTTTAGGCTTGTACAAAATCAAGTGTCCTGTGATAGCTCCAAGAAAATTAAAATAGCTGTTGTTGAATATTAGCCATGGCAATTGGCTAGAAAGTTCCATTGCAGAAAAAAGAGATTTCTGCATCAAGAAAAAGAAATGGTTTACAATATAATAACTCCCACGTTAAATTATATTGGTGTCCTGGGGAACTGTCGTTGACCCAGCGCCGAGGCACATTTTGAGAGAGCAAGTGGTTGGCTGCCCCATCCCCTTCCTAAGGTGGAGAATGTAGCTAATGTGTAGTTTTTTTTGTTTTCATTTTTTGTTTTTGTCATCTTGTGGCAAAGTAAAATAATGAAAAGAGCATTAAGGTTGAAGTCAAGCAGACCTAGGTTTAAATTCTGGAATCACTGTGTCCTTGGACTGCTAATGTAACCTCCCTGAGCCACTGTTTGATTATGTATAAAATGATTTTTAATAATTCCTTTCTCTTAGTGTTGTTCTAAAAGTTAAATGAGAGGAGACCCATAAATCACATGAGACATAACATGTGTTTAATAAAGGTCTTGTGAGCATTTCACCCTATAGAAATAGTTATATATCTTGCTGCTGAATTCTACCTTTTGGCTTAAATCAAAAAGGAGAAGTAGCAATTAGGCTAACCTCTGTGAGTAAGCTTTGGCTCCTGGGGCTTGGACCCCGGAGAAGCCCCACAACACCATAAATCTCTCAGCAGTATCTGATGAAGCTTCAAGAGCCCCCTTAGAACATGAGCCTTACTACTAAGTATTTGAGTTTTGTAGAAACCTACTCTTTTCATCTTTCGAACCAATTATTCTTATTTTCCATTTTCAGTTCTCTTTTACTTCTCTTATTTTCAAAATGTTATGCTAGGTGTGTGAAGTTGGAGATTCCATACTGAAAATTATCTAATAAATTAACAAAGGACAAGTTAGAGCAGGTGGCAACTCTATATAATAAAATAAAATGAATATTAATTTTTAAAATGAGATGTGAGGGATATTTGTGTATTAAGTTTTAGAATTACAACTTCAAGAGGGAGGAAAATATTTTGTTTAAATCACTAAACTATTTTTACATGTTTTGTTTTCTTTCAATGACATCAATTTTGAAATCTTTAGGAAGCCAAAGCTGTAGCTGAAGAAACAAGAGCCCTGCGAAGTCGGATTCATCTTGCCGAAGCTGCACAGAGACAGGCGCGTGGAATGGAAATGGACTATGAAGAAGTGATCCGTCTGTTAGAGGCTGAGATTACAGAGCTAAAGGCTCAGCTTGCTGATTATTCTGACCAAAATAAAGTAAGCAAAAACAGTCCCCTCTTCTAGTTTCCATGGTTTCCTTGCCGTTGTCATGTATCCTGTTTTCATTTTCTTTTCATCTGCTCTTCTAAACTAGGTCAGTGTTTGTCTTCTATTATTCAATGATAGGATGATGTGTCATGATGGAGGTAATGTGAGGGTTGTGAGCCTCTCTTTATTCAGATGTCTTCAGGAGGGAAAAGCATGCACTCCAAATTTGTTTGGGCCGTCGGTCAACGCTGTACTGTTCAGGCAATAAATTGTGGAGCTATTTAATAGATTGCATTGTTTTTTTTTTTTTCCTTTTGTTTCTCAACTTGCTAATTTGGAAGGAGGAGAGTCTAGGGATGGAATTTGCTCTTTGATTAAAACAGTCAAGGAAGTGTGAAAGTTAAATAATTTTTGCCCAAAGCACAAAATAATTAATAGAAAGAAACTGAGTTTGATTTTAGTAGGCTCTAATTTCAATAGCAAAATTTTGAATACTTTTTGGAAGGCAAGAACTTTCTCATGGGATTTTGTTTTTTATGTAATGCACACTGTATTCATTGAATGGTATTCACAAACTAATAGATGTATACATTTTTACTCACTGCAGTAAGATAAAAAATTAAATTGAAATAGATATTTTATAACTGCGTAGAGATTATTTATTTTTTTTATAACTGTAGTTACTTTTGGAAGGAAAAAAATCAGTCTTTAAAAATACTTTAAAAAATTATGTTCAAGGAGTTAACATGAATTTATCGAATTTTTTTAAAACATAGGTTATTTGCAGTTCTCTCTTCCAGCTCCTACTGAGAAACATTTTTGTCCTAAGTTGTCTGGTAATTAAATTAATTGAGATGTTCTCTCTCTTTCTCTTTCTCTCTCTCTCTCACCCCCTATTTATTTTTTAGCACAACAGGGTCTCATGCCATTTCTCTTAGGACTCTAAGATAAGCCATTAACCTTTCTCTAAAAACAATCTGTTTTTTAAAAAAGAAAATATGTTAGACATGGACATTTTAACATTTTCCAAACTCAGTGGAGAAGGAGAAGGAAACTTTTTTTTTAATTATTTGAGAATGCTTGAAGAGACATTGGTCAAGACATTACAGGATTGATATTCAAATATTTATTTTTAAGACACAGATTCCTTTTGGAACAATCTTTTTATTTTTCATTATAATTTCTCCTTGTATAAACTGTTTATTTACTCATTTACTTTGTTTGCTTTTTCTTTTATTCATCTCAAGCTTAAGAAATAAAACATTACCAATACTTTTGAAGATCCACCATATCCCTCTACAATTATAACCTCTTCTCTTGCCCTCAGAGTAACCACTTTCTTGGGTTTCATGTTAATGATTTTTTGATAATTTTACGACCAAGTATATATCCCTTAACAATATGTTATTTTGTTTAGCCTGTATACTATATATATTATTCTGACTTCCTTTTTTCACTCAACATTTTGTTTTTGTGATTCAGCTAAAGTTTATAGCTAGTTTATGTCTTCATTGCCATTTTTGTACGCCATTGAATAGATATAATAATACAGTATATTTATCCATTCTGTATTTGATGGACAATTCAATTGTTTTTGTTTTCTTCTATTATAAACAATGTTGCTCTACATGTGTAACAGTTTCTCTTTGGTTCATATCTTGGAGTGGAATTACTAGATTGAATGATGACTGTATGATCAACTTTACTGGGTAATGCTCAGTTGTGTTTGAAAGTTTCTAAACCAATTTTTACTGCCATCAGTAGTGAATGAGAATTACTATTTACTCCACATCCTTGCCGACACTTTGTTTTCCTTAACTTTTAATTTTTATCAGTATGTCAGGTACGATAAGTATATCTCATTGTGGTTTAATTTGAATTTCCCTGATTACTAATGCTGGAATCATGGTACTGGCTCAGGAGAGCTGATGATGTACATCTCTTCCCAACTGTGTATTTATTGACATCAGGTTGGCAGCTGGAAAAAAAATCCTATACACTGTAAATCAGGGCTTTGCCCTCGGGCCCAGAGAGCCACTGGAGCATATATTTTTATATTTATTAGGCATTTGTGTTTCTATGTGAAATGACTCTTCATATCCTTTAGCCATTTTTTCCATTGGATTGTCTTTTTAATATTGATATGTAGTGATTATATGTTCTGGTTACTAAACCTATAATATATTATATGTCATAAAAATCTTCTGAATTTATGGCTTGCTTTTTCACCCTATGGGGAAATGAGCAGGTGCTCTTAATTTTCATGCAATCAAACTTATCAATTTCTCCCTCATGTATCTTGTTAAAAGTTGTTACAATCCCAAAGATATAAAGATATTACTTCATATTTGCCTCTAAAAGTTTTAAAGTTTCGGTCCTTCTGTCACTGATTTTGTGGCATTGTATGAGATGGGGATTCATTTCATTCTTTCTTCTAAATGAAAAACCAACTACACTAGAACCATTTATTCAAAAGACTCTTCTTTCCTAATTGATCTGCAAAATCAGCTCTATCATATATCAAGATTTCATGTGTGTGGATCTTTTTAGGGGGCTCTCTATTCTCTTTTATTGTTTTTTTTTATATATATTTCTATGCAAATAACATTATATTGATTACTATATATTTTACAGTAAGTCTTGATATCTAATCACCTTTCAAGTTCTTTCTCTTTAAAAGTGTGTTGTCTACATGAACTTTCATCTTTAATATGTTTTTAGACTAAGTTTATAAATTCTACCAAAAGAAAAAAATATTGGCCTTCTTACTGAAAATGCATTAAATATATAGTTTAATTTGGGGAGAATGTACATATCTATGATTGAGTCTTGAATTATAAACACTATTGAGGCAAAGAAGGGTTAATTGCTTTGTGGCCAGAGAATCTAGTCTGTAGGATAACAACAAAATTTTTTGGTGGTTGTTTCATGGCTTACTACATGGCCAATATTTACAAATGTTCAAAGTAAGCTTGAAAAGAATTCTGTGCTTGTTTAATATAATTGTTTTATTAGAGACCACTTAAACCCGAGTTATTAATTTTGGGGTTCACTTGTTTCTAGTCATTAATTTGTCAGGGAAGTGTGTTAAAATCTCCATTTTGATTAATGTTCTTTATGTATTTTGAAGTAATGCTTTTAGATGAATATAAACTTGGAATTATATTAATATCCTTTTATAAAAATGATTCTTCAATCTAGAAATCTTCCCATTAATGCTTGTTTGTGATTTACATTAAAATAGTTACAATGGCTTTCTTTTGATTACTATTTACATATGTATTTTTTCTATCCTTTTACTTTCAATTTTTCAGTGTCCTTATATTTTAATTATGTCTGTGGTAAACAACATGTATTAGATTATCCTCCTGTCTTACTAACATTCTTTTCATTCTTTTACATTCTTTTATTTCAGTTACATTCTTTTATTTGCTACTGCACTTGGCTTCATTTCCACCCTCTTAATATGTGCATTTTATTTGTCTCATGTTTTCTAGTTGTTTTTCATTTCTAGCCTTTTTTTTTTTTTTTGGATTGGTTCAGATTTCTCCTGTGTTACCCCTTCCCATTCCATTTATTTCCCTCTGATGGTTTAGAAGTTACATACTCTTTTTCTAATTTTTAATGATTACCTTAGAAATACTAACATTCTATTTTAACTTAAATTATAAAACTAATCACTAGCTTTCTCCTTCTTCTAAAGGCATTTTAGAACATAAATCCAGTCATCCTTCCTACTTAAGTTCTATTTTTGTTGGCATTTTAGTTTTTTCTTGACTTTTAACACCATAAATTGCTATTATAGTTTATTTTGTGCAGTCAGCCTTTGTTTAGATAGACCACCATTTTCACCATTTTCTATACTCAACATTCTTTTTTGCATCTCAGACCTTCTTGTTAGAATTATTTCCTTTCTTCCTGAAGTAACAGCTTTTAGAATTGGAGGATCTATTGGTAATAAACTCTCTCCATTTTTCTTTGTCTGAAAACATCTTTATTGAACTCTTGGTCTTTAAATATATTTTTGCTGCATTTAAAATTGTTGAGTTGACATTTATTTAATTTCTTTCACTGTTTTTACTTCATGATTGCAATAGCCATCAATATGTCATTTGTTTGCCATCTGCTGTTTCTTTCTAGATGATTTTAAGATATTTTTATCTTCACTGTTCAGCAGTTTGACTATGATAGGTAATACGTTGACTTAATTATTTAGATTCATTGAGGTTTCTGATGTGAGGGAAAATGTCTTTGCCATTTCTAAGCTGTTATCCTGTTATTCTTTCATTCTTTCTAGTCTCTCTGGTGTAATTCAGATTGAATGTATGCTAGATCTTCTAATTACTTCCTTCTTCTTTTCCTCCTTTAATATTTTGTATTTTTATTTTTCTGTTCTATTATGAGAAGTTTCCTTTCCTCTGTCTTCCAGTTCACCTAATCTCTTTTCAACTGTATTTAATTGGATAATAAACCCATAGAGCTTCTAATTTAATTATTACATTTTTATTTTTAAAATTAATTTTTATGTCATCAGATCTATTTTGATAGTTTCTTATCCCTTTATTATGTTTTCAAATTCTTCTTAATTTTTAAAACATATTAAATATTACTTTATATCTTTTATCTGATCGCTCCAGTATCTCTTGTCTTTTATAGGTCAAGCCCTATAATTTGTTTTCTTCAGCTAATTTTCATTTATGGTAGCTTATTTCTTGGGGACATATTCTTTTGATACAATATGAGAATTCCATGAGATTTGAGTTTAGAAAATACTCCTCCAGGGAAGGTTATATATTTTCTTTTACCAGCCTGGGATCAATTTAAACTAAATTTTCAACTTATGAATTATAGACCACACAAGCAATATAAAGCCTGACCTTAAACCTGCATGAGTGGAAGCTTGTGGTAAGCAGTTATTTATGGGATATTTTTTTTAACCCGCTCACCAGAACCAAAGTCAAAACCCTTGTTAGTTTGTTTGTTCCTAGTTCACCCATTAAAGTTCTCCTGTTTGCCATGTGTGCCTGATGAAACCCCAAACTGTATGCCACCAGAGATCAACATATACCCTCAGAGCAAATTATGCTGCGGTGTACTCTTACTCCAGTGGTTCACTCAGCATTGCTGTTGCTTGTCTTAATAGAATTCCTTTACTGCCCACGGAATCCCTTTACTTCCCTGCCAGCTCAGCTTTACATTAGATTGTATTATATTAAAGATATAGGCTACTGAACTTAAGGGGTTCATTGTTTGGGCTGTCCTGTTCAAGAATAAGACATGATTGTCCTTGGGTAGTTTAATTTACTTGCAACAAGTAAAGGAGACAGGGGATTCTCATCCAAAGCTCTGTCTCTGCAAAGAGGGGCCTACCCATTGCTTGTATACACTATTTGGTTAATTACATGTTGATTTCTTTTTTGCACTTGGCTAGACTTACTTGGTTGGGTTTCAGTTTTGGTCAAGCTCATCTTGTCAAGCTCATCTGGTTAGATCCATGTTTGCAAAATACTGTCCTACATTTTAACATTTAGCAAGAATAGCATTTAGTAAGAACCACCCAGACCTTGAGACTTTTGTATTATCTAACATATTTGTGTATCTTCAGCATTTTTGATCGTGCCACACTGATAGGGGTTTTTGTCAGCATCTGGCAATTCATATTGTCAAAAAAAACCCCAAAAAACTGTAAATGAATTTCAATGTAATTTATTGCAGGAATCAATAAAGTTATATGCGACATATCTCATAAAATTTATGGCATCTCTGTGCAGTTTAACTTTTAAATAGGCCATTAGTTAAGGGCCACCTAAAATCAGAAGATATATATAATAAAGAGAAAATAAATGATATAGTAACGTTAGATACTAGTTAATAAAAACTGAGAATAGGAGCCACTAATGTTTAATTGGAGAAATGTTTGAGACAATCTTTTTGATATCTCTGTCCAGGAAAGTGTTCAGGAGTTGAGAAAGAGAATCACAGTGCTTGACTGCCAATTGCGAAAGTCAGAAATGGCTCGAAAAACTTTTGAGACATCCACTGAAAAGCTTCTTCATTTTGTAGAGGTAAATTTTCCTGTTACATTACTTTATGTCCATTTTTAAGAAATGTATAGGCAACTGACATATAGATAAACGTCATAGTGTTTGGTGGCTAGTGAAACATTCTCCTGGCTCAAAAAAGCCATACTAACTTAAAGTCAGATTTAAAATTGCTTAGATAATGAAGACCAGCTAACATATAGATTGTTAAGAGAAATGATTGAGACAGGGTAACATAATCTCAAATACATATGTTTTAATGAACACTTTCCTAAAACTCTTGATACTCTGAACATTACTTGATAAATATTTACTGTATAAAGAACTGTTTCTGTAGTTATATTTCTGAGTAGAATTGCTTGTTAATGTAATTGATTTTTCTCCTCACATAACAGAATCACTTTTTAATCAATTGAAGGTGGGTAGAAAGGGGGGAGGTTACAAATATTAATAAATGAGAAAAGACATTTTTGAAAAAAACTACCAAACTTATATATCTCCTTCACCATCTTGTTTGTCACTAGGCTATTCAAGAAGTATTTTCTGATAATTCTGCTTTATCAACTTTAAGGTAAGAATATGTGAGTCCTTTCTGAAGAGTATGGCCACTGATAACATTTTTCATCTGGTAATTGTGACTAAAATACTAAAATCTCTTTGTCTTAAGATGCTGCATAACTCCTGTTCAATACTATTCTTTAATGTCTTGTGGAAATAAATACAAAGACATGTTTTGACCTCATCTCTGTGAAGGAAATTCCTGGAGGTGTTCAGTAAATCATTGTAACCTAGTACTCTAAATTGAGGTGGGAATCACCTATCTTGTCTTTGTCAGGAATTCTGTAAAGATGAGATGAACTTGAAGTTCTTTAAGCATCTTGTGTATGAGTAAAAGTTACTATACTAGTCACAGGTTCACTGCTAAAGGTCAGTCCTAACCAGGCAGATTAGTTGTTATGGCAAACAGGGTTTATAAAATATATTCATGCAATAAGTTTCTTTCATTTTCAGCATTCAGTAGATATAAATAAAAGAAATATATTTGGAGAATACACCTTGATTTTGTTATTATTCAGTTTGTTTTTGATTTAAAGTTTCTTACTAGGAGCTACAAATATACTAATCAGATTTATTTATTTCAAACTGCAAGTTTGTGGTCATTTTGATACACGATGAAAGACATGTACAAAAGAAAGATTCCTGCTTGTACATTTTCAAAGCAGTTTTTTTCTCATCTTATAATAGCTGACACTGTCAATATACTTCTACTTCTAGCAATGTATGCTTGCAGAAACAGGAAAATTCTACTCTTTACTATGAAAACAGCAGTTTAATAAATTAAGATGATACATTGTATTCTTATTATATTCTAGGTTTCATAACATTTTTGGATTTAGAAGAATATCTATAGTAGTACACTTTTAAACTAATTTTAATGTGATATTTTATTTCTTCTGATGAAGGAATTTGACATTTTTTATCGTTATCCATGTTGCTTATGATATAAGATAATTATGTGAGTTCCATGATGATTATTTTCAGGAAGCCTGTTAAAATACTCAGCCATCAGATTCCCCTTGTATGAGTTCTCTGCCCCCAACCACAAAGTTTCATTATGACCTTGATGAATAATTCAGAAGTTTTGGTATTAAAAATAAAGGTTAAAATGACTATCTAAAAACCAGAGCCTGGCCTTGCCTTAAACTGGTTCATGGAAAAAAGATAACTTTAAAAAGTAACATTAAACAAGTTTTTCACTATGTCTTGGAAAGTTAAACACTAGTAGAATTGGTTCAGTCTTTTTTTAATGTACTATATCTTCTATAGTAGATATTGGCCTTGGTCATTAAACACAGAACAAAGGCTCTATATTTGAATTTGAGAATTGATGCTTTAATTTCTCCTTGTGAATTAATACCATCATGCTTAAGAAGATGGATTGTAAGTAATGATGGTTTTGTCATCAGTTTAAAATTGTCTCTTTTCAAGTAAAAGTTTTAGCATAATGATTTTTTTGCAGTAAAACCTTGCATTTTTAATTATATCAGAATGCATTCATTTCAGGTGCTATTTGCATTTTTTAAAATGATATAAACACTCTATGCTGTTTTTAGATTTAGGGACAAATGGAAGTGCTTAAGAGATAATTTCGGGAGCAGGTATACGTATTGAATTTACATTTACTATTACTACATCATGTTAACATAACAGAAGCACTCAAAAAATAAGCCCAAGTGATTTAGAAAGTGGGCTATCCTTCTTTTCCTTCCTTCTTATATATGAGGTCAACCTAAGTTTTAAAATACGCCTATTTGTTATACAATAAAGAATTGAAAACAAATAGTTTTTTGTGAATTACTTCATTTATGGCTGTAAGGATGTAATGTTCCCAGATACAGAAATATTTTTGCACAAATTAATAGCTACTAAGAATTCAGGTTTAACTAAGATAAATGTTATTTATTGTGTAAAAAGTTCAGCATTATTTTATCCCCCTCTTAGTGAAAGAAGAGCTGCGCTGGCTTCTCAGACGTCCCTCAAGCCATGGGGGAGGGGTGGCCGTAGCACCCCAGCCACGCTGGCGCTGGCGTCTAAGGAGCTCGTCGAGTCTGTCCGTGCCATCCTTGATGTAGACTGTAAGTTTTCCGAATTTTTAAAATTTTTTAAAAAGTAATTTATTTAACAAAACAAAATTTCAAGTTTTACAGTTTAATTTTGTTAGATGTATTGGTTTGACTACAGTAAAATTGATAGTAGCTAAGTGATAAAAATCGTAATGCACTTATTTACAGTGACTTTCAGCAGAAGATAGCTGATTAAGACATGTCTTTCCCTGTACTTCCATCCAAAGTCTCTTTGAAGTGGAAGAATAAATGTTAAAAAATCTACAAGAGCACTAGAAACCTGGAAGGGTAGAATCAACATTGAGGAATTTTTTAATACCATACAACAGATGGAATAAGATTGAAGTACAGCCCAGCTAAACTAAAGACCCCAAAACACAATAAATATGAAAAACAGGACTGCTGGAACAGTGAGTTAAGTAGAACCATGGAAAAATCCCCAGTATCACGGGCAGGGAAAACCAAGAAAAGATCCTGGGGCAGTCAGCAGGGTAATTAATTAAAGGGCTATAGAATAGCAGAACCAGTTCCCTACTCTTCAGAGCTGCCCTATCAGGCATATAACTCCTAAGTTAGGGCCAAGAGAATACCACCCTTAAGGAAATGCATGATCTGTCACTCATATCTCTAGAGTCACTATTGGGCTAGAAAAGAGAAGCAGGCCAAGGCCCCAAGTAGCTTCCAACATCCCCGTAGACAGGGAGACACTTGGGGAAAGCTTAAATGCTGGGACATTCCATCCTTCCCTCCTGGTAGTCTGTCTCCTGGTACTTCTGCCTCTTCATGGATTTGGACTCTCTTCTTATTTGTTTGTTTTCCTGTCTCTTCTCTTGATGTCATTCTGTCTGCTGATTGTCTTTGTGCTGGCTTCTAACATTCCATTATCTCTCTTAAGTTTGCCACTTTTAATCTTCCTGTGCTGGGGACCAGATATTAAATATATGTAAAAATGTGTAAAGATATAGATAAAATTATATGTTAATTAAGTATCAAAATAATAAATTTTAGTAAAGTCTTGGGTACTAAATGGCTTGAATTGGTGTATCCCAAAGGATCTCTGGAGTAGTATTCAGAGATCCTTTGGGATAACTTTTGACTTCAGTACTATGTTATATAGGATTAGAAACCATGCTTTTAATAGTATCCGCTTAATTTATGCAATGCTTTTTTCCTTAATTTTGTATAACCTATTACTTTTTAAGAAATCAAATTACATTTTAAAAACCCTATAAGAACTCTTTATGTAAAGAAATTCTGTATATTTTAGTGAGGATGAAAATAACCACTCCTAATATATTATGCGTAAGCTCAGAATTTCATATATCAGATGTTTTTAAGTTAAGATGGAAACAGTAGAAGGAAACACCTGTACAGACATGGCCCAGTGGACATTGCCATCATTAATTTTAATTATCTTCTAGCATTAACCTTTATATTTGTCAAACATGATTATTCAAAGAAAATGTTTGAAATTCAGCAGAACTTTTTCGGAATAAAAGTGAGAAATTCCATCTGCACTTTTTATCCATTACAAGATTATACATACTTTGCTGTTTAAAACTAACACGTTTCTATGTTTTCTTTTTATTTAGAAATATAATCACCAGTGTTGGCATATTTTCCCAGTGCTTTTATAATTTTATATGACATATCTTTTTAAGTTTGATCGTTCAGATACACTCAGCTCATTTTTCTCTCTCCTAAAGCAGTAGCATTTTCTACATATGTAATGAAAAACAGAAAATTACTGCCATAAGGAAGATAATTCAGTTGCAGCCTTCATCTCATTTCCTTGGCCATGACTATCTGGTAATTTCCAGTTACAATTTGAAATTTTCTCGTGGGTAATTGCTTTCACTTTCTTCTTAATAGAAGTACACTCTAAGATGTTTTACTATGGGATTTCCCTGGAAATGAGAATAAGATTTCTTGGGTCTTATAGCTGGAAACCAGCCTCTGAGGAAAATCTCAAGACAGTTGTGAACCTTTTTTGGGTTGTGGACTACACCGAAATCTGGTGCAATCCCTCTTTCCAGAAATGTTCAATCATACGCATTTTGCATCTGTTTCCAGAGTGTTTGCGAACCCCAACCTAAGAACGCTGATGTAGAATAACAGGGAACGCAGATGCTTTCTACGGTATTGCAAACGTGACTGCCCAGCCCTCACTGGAATACCTCTGGCAGTGGAGAAGTGTAAGGGTCATCGAGGCAGCCTGGAGTCGTGGTTTGAAACAGTGCTCCTCAAAGTCTCTGATGTTCCCTAGAGATGCTCCAGAGAGCAGCCCAATTAGTCACCCAACTTCACTGGGTGAATTACTTTAACCTCTGGGCCTGTTTCCTCTTATGAAAAGTGTTGAGATCATATCGGAAGTGGCAGGATTGGAGGATTAAGTGAGATACATGTAAAGCAGCTAACAGAGCACTTGGTAATGTAAGATGTTCCATAAATAGACATTACTGCTGCTGCTGCTGCTAATGCTGGTTCCACATGTCATTATTATTTAAAGTGATTAATTTAAATGCATTTTTTCTCTGTGTTAAGTCTTAAATAATTGTTTAAAGCTTCTTTCAACTTGGATACATTTGAAAATATGGTAGATGAGAGCTTTTCTTAATATATAACATTTAATGTTATTACTGATTTTGAGTTAGAACGTAATCATCACAGGAAACTGGCTAAATGTCTGAATCAGCATCTTATCTTTCAGTGGTTTATTGCTAACTGTAAGGAAACTTACAGTTACATTACTTCAAGTTGAGACAGTATGGAGATAGAATAGGCATTGTTCTGTTACATTATTTCAAGTTGAGACAGTATGTAGATAGAATAGGCATTGTCAATCAGTATCGGAACCCCTGGAAGTGCTTATATTGATCTCTGTCAATATTTACATGATCGATATTATAATGCTTTAGTGTAATCTTTATTTGAAATAGCTACTTGTTTTGAACTGTAATCTTTGATTGACATCTAGATTGACAAAATATTCTGCAACAAAAGCAGAAAGAGGCAGTACTATTTTAAAAATACATAATAAAAGAATCTGGCCAAGTAATCCCATAGGAGGTATTTAGTAGAAAGAGAACTTATTGACTTCCTGGTAAGTTGACATAAACGCAGGCATCTACCTTCCTTCAAGACTCCCATGGAAATGATAAATGGAACCTAAAAATAGAGTAAAATCTTCAAAAGTGCTATCGATAACAGGCCAATCCCTCAAACTTTTCAATACAGGGCAAGTAGCACCTCATAGAAGAAAGCACACAGGGCCAATTTGTTACTCCCTCTGCTGAACAGAAGTAGCAGTTATAAGGATAACTGGAGGAACCCTGGCAGGAGGGCACCCTCAATGAATTTTAATTTGAAGAGGTAATAAATAGAGTGGCTGGGGGGGTAGTAACTCTTTGTTACTCTTTTATCTTGGTGAGTCAATGGCATTTTTGAAATTCTCAGCATTCAAACAGATTCTCTGTCACGCAGAAGGCCACCTGGGGCTTGGTCATTTAGGCAGCATAGACACACTTGAGATCTGACCTGCACTTAGCACACTGGCTTCTGCACCAAAAGCCACATTGCTCTGCATAGCCACCTCTGGTCTTGGCTGGCTTCTCACTCTCCTCAGACTGCTGCATCCTCTTTGTATATGCAATGCTAACTGACCAGCCCACAGCCTGAGTTTTGAGAGGGTAACTCCAACAACTTGGCTGAATGTCACACACATCCTTTCAAAGGTCAAAAAGCAATTCGTGTAGAGAGCTCTCTACATGCAAGCTTTTATAAAGAGAAATATATCACATATAGACACACATTTCATCTAAACTCTTATAAACAGATGTATACACAAACATACCAATATATGATTATTAAAAAAGGCCACAGTATTAAAGCAAGGAAACATAGCTATCAAGATTCAGAATAGACTTTGGGATCAAGATGGTATAGCGATCGCATGCCAAAACTTCCCCATTCTGTTCCTATACTTAGAAGTGACATTTAAAATTGTGTTTGTGTATTTAAAAGATTAAAACCAAGAAAGGAACGTCTCCCTGCACCAAAGCAGAGGGTAAAATTATAATAATAAGTGTGCTCTTAATCTTCAGAGATTTATAGAATTGAGATGAGCAGCTAAAGCAAAGGTTTCTTAACTCTCAAGGGTCCAATGATGCCTGAGCAGAGGAAGCAAGGATTGTTCCCATACAGAATGTCCTTTTTTTCTTAAGTTACTCATATATTAGGCATTTAAAAAAATCCCTTCAATTTAGGAACAATCTGGGCTGGCCACTAATTAAAGTCGAAAGTAAATATTCTCATTTACTACAAGTGGAAATATAATTTAGCACAACATTCTTGGGAATCAATTTTACAGTATATATCAAGAGCTTTAAAAATACCTATTTAGAGAGTTTTTTTGAAAGTTAAAAAACGTAACGGTAATATATTTTAACTCAATAATTCCACCTGTTGGTATATTTTGCAAAGAAAATAATGAGAGATGTGCATAACAGTGTATATGTAATAATTTCATCATAGCATTTCTTAATAATAGCAGAACTATGGATGTTCACATGTTACAGAATGATCGAATAATTATGTAATTTTTATTCAGCCATTTGAAAATGAGGATAAACTTTTCCCCTACCAAGCAACGGCCATCTGATTACATATATTTGTCTATGCAAGCCTCCTGTATCAATTCAGTTGTTCCTGTCTGAAATTAGCAATAGTTTAAGTTTTAAAATTAGTAATTTCTGCTTTTTGTTATATATTTTGTTATTTTTTTATATTCTTTTTTGTTATATCTTTTTATGTTCTGAAGGTAATTAGAAGTTATTTAGGCAGATGAGGAAAGGTTTTATGAGAAATAGGGAAAATGCAGTACTGCAGTATTTGAAGGCCTTCGTAAATTTTCTTTTAGATCCAAAACTCAGACTTGATATAGCATCTTCTTATCGTACTTATTCTAGGTCACAAACTATCATCATTGCTTTTCTTATTTTCCCCAGAGCACA